TTTGCTAAAATATAGACATTAAAAATAATGTAATGTGGCAACTCTGAAAATCATGTTTCCCTTTCCCCCACGGTTTGCTGTTGTTACTGTTTTTATTTGTTTGGTGCCTTTCTTGGACTAATTTTGTGAAGTCTGTATTCTTTGTCATTTGTAGTCACTGTAGCCATTGGTAGTTAGTTTAATTGTTCACTAACATGAGAGAAATGCTCTAGCATTCCTCCAATGCTAGCATCAAAGATTTTTATCTTCCTTTGTTTATGGTGAGGCTATGCGTGCATATTAATGCATGCCTCCAATTTTCAGGCAGACAGTTCACAACTTTGTCTCAGCCTTTACATCCTGCTCACTCAAATACTCAAGGTTAGCCAGAAGTAAAACTTGGGCCTTCTCAGATTTCCAGAAACATGTTAATCTTTTTTTTCTGTTAGATGAGATCTTGCTATGTTGCCCAAGCTGAAGTCTGGTGGCTATTCACAGGTGCAATCATAACACACTATAGCCTCAAACTCCTGGGCTTGAATGATCCTTCTACCTCAGCCTCCTTAGCTGGGACTATAGGCATGTGCTGCCAGGCAGCTTATGTTAAATCTTTATATATATATATATATCTTTACTTTTACTGAACAATCAAGTAGATGAAGTGAATGTTAAATCTTTTTAATGCCCCCTCACCATGGACATCTCATTCTTCATTTTTCTTTTTCAAGTTTTTCAGTCAGCCTGTTGTTAGCTCTAACTGGTGTCACTACCTGAGGCTGCTGTAATGTTAAACAGTTGTTACCGATTGTTTTCAACAGTGCCCTGAGGAGAGGGCCATTTGCACAGGGCAAGCTCTGAGTTATGCCAATTAAAGACAAACCCTGGGAATACAGCTTTTCCAGGAAGTTGCCAGACGAGTCAAATAGTGACAGGACTCTGGGGATGGGGCTCTTTCAGGTGCTCCATATCCTTTTTGCCCCTCCAGTGGCTGCTATGACTACAGGGCTGTTGGTTTTCGAGGTTACGAATATTCTTTCTTCTTCTTTTTCTTTTTTTTGAGACAGGGTCTTGCTCTGTTGCCCAGGCTGGAGTGCAGTGGTGCCATCTCAGCCCACTACAACCTCTGCCTCCTGGGTTCAAGTGATTTTTAAGCCTTAACCTCCTGAGTAGGTGGGATTACAGGCACATGCCACCATGCCCAGCTAATATTTGTATTTTTAGCAGAGACGGGTTTCATCATGTTGGCAAGGCTGGTCTCAAACTCCTGACCTTAAGTGATCCTCCCACCTCGGCCTCCCAAAGTGCTGAGATTACAGGTGTGAGCCACTGCGCCTGGCCTAAAGGTTACACATATTCTGTGTAGTCATCCCTCAGTATCCATGGAGAGTTGGTTCCAGGACGTCTGGTGGTTACTAAAATCCATGGATGCTCAAGTCCCTTATATAAAAAATGGTGTAGTTTTTTCATATAATGTATGCAGATCCTCCTGTATACTTTCAATCATCTCTAGGTTACTTATAGTACTTAATACAATGTAAATGTTATGTACATTGTTGTTATACTCTATCGTTTAAGGAATAATGACAAGAAAAAAAAGTCTGTACAAGTTCAGTACAGATGCAATTTTTTCCCCAGATATTTTTGATCTGCGGTTTGGTTGAATCCATGGATGTGGAAACCACAGATATGGAGAGCTGACTGTATGCCTACAGAAATATCATGTTAAATGGCCCGAAGAGAAATTGTCACATAGGATGGTTCTAGTCCTAAAGATAACACTGCTCACCTCTTAATTATTGTACATTGATAATCTAAATCAGCTTACTTCCTGAATATAGATTAAGTCAGTATGTTCATCAGAATCCCTTGGAGGGCTTGTTAAAATACAGGTAATTTAGCCGCACTTTTAGAGTTTCTGATTCAGCAGATCTGGGGTGGGGTCTGGGAATTTGCATTTCTTGCCAATTCTGAGAGGATGCTGATGCTACTGCTTAGGGACCCCATCTTGAGAACTTCTGAAGGACTGGGATACTTTACCACCAGCATACTTCTATCACTGTGATGCTTAGGGAAGATACAGCATCGTATTGTAAACCAAAAAGGGAAAAAGAGACAAAAACTACAGTAGGATCTGTGGCCTATGCTTTTTCCCAAGAGGGTTTTGGAGACTTCAGTATTTAAAGAGGAAAGAATAGGAAGGTGGGGAAAGAGGAACAGTGAATTATGCATTTTATGTAAGACAAATAAACAGAGAGTATTGGAAGAAGTCAAATATGCATTTGTTTTGGGGTGGGTGGAAGGATTCTTGTCTTTGTCCCATTCCTGTGAAGATAAGCTGTTAATTTACATTGTCAGGGTGAGGGAGGTCACCTGGGGATATATGTGGCCTTCTATCTTGCAGCTGTCTCTTTAGGAACAAAAGGAAGGCAGGTTTTTGTATGATTCAGTTCCTAAGCTTAGCTTTTTCCTTTGGAGTAGTGAATTTGGGGGTCCCAATATTAATTTTATTTTCCTTTTACAGTATTAACTAACACAGGGCACCCTTTTCCCTTGATAATTTTCATTCTATAGTGGAATTAGGGCCTCATTCTTTGCCACACTGAAAACATGATTGATCTTTGAAGATTATCCATAATTACATAACAGTCAAGTGACAAATGTTTTTGGAAGCTGATCCTCATTCAGGGTGTTACTGTACTAAATGAATACTGAAATTAGACTGATGTCTATTTTTAAATCTGTATAAATTTAATTTTTTTCTCTTTTTTAAAAGTTAGTGTTTAACAACTCTCTTAGCTGGATTATCAATAGCATGGCCATAAAATTTAGTGTTTGAACAGAATACTTTTGAGAGTGAAAGGGGACTCTATTGATAATTTTGCTGGCAAAAATAGGTAAACTGGGGCTGTACCAAGCAAACTAATTGGTCACAGTAATTAAAAAAAATAAAATATAAAAGTATTTTTGCATTTCTACAAATTTGATTTTCTTGGCTTTAACTTTGTACTGCGGAGTCAAGGTTCTGTCAATACTTCCTTCCACTTAGCTGCAGAAACAATAAGAAGGAACTGTTTTATTACTTAGTTACTTTTCAGAAGAGAAATAAAACGTCAGAAAAGAAATAAAAATGTAAAACTAGGGCATCTGTCTTTTCTTTCCCTCCCTTCCTTCCTTCCTTCCTTCCTTCCTTCCTTCCTTCCTTCCTTCCTTCCTTCCTTCCTCTCTCTCTCTCTTTCAGACAGGGTATTTGTTGCTCCGTGTTTCAGGTTGGCACTGTAGCCTCAAAATCCTCTGCCCAACTGATGCTCCTGCCTCAGGCTCCCCTTTATTTCTGCATTTGGTTTTTGCTACATAAGGAGGATCAGACCTAATTCTAAATAAATACTTGTTTAATTTCCCTTCCTAACTGGTTAATCTCTTTCTTTCTTTTCTCTCTCTCTCTCTGTCTCTTCTTTCGCTTTTTTTTTTTTTTTTTTTTTTTTTTTTGAGATGGAGTTTCACTCTTGTTACCAGGCTGGAGTGCAATGGCGCGATCTCGGCTCACCGCAACTTCCGCCTCCTGGGTTCAGGCAATTCTCCTGCCTCAGCCTCCTGAGTAGCTGGGATTACAGGCACACGCCACCATGCCCAGCTAATTTTTTGTATTTTTAGTAGAGACGGGGTTTCACCATGTTGACTAGGATGGTCTCGATCTCTCGACCTCGTGATCCACCCGTCTCGGCCTCCCAAAGTGCTGGGATTACAGGCTTGAGCCACCGCGCCCGGCCTCTTTCTTTCTTTCTTTTTTTTTTTTTTTGAGACAAGTTTTCACCATGTTGACCAGGATGGTCTTGATCTCCCGACCTCGTGATCCGCCCGCCCCAGCCTTTCAAAGTGCTGGGATAACAGACTTGAGCCACCACATTCGGCTAATCTCTTTTCTTTTTGAAGCAAACTTTATGTATAAATGTTCTGCTTGAGAAGCATTATGGTTTATTGAATTAAAATAATTTTAAGAATTTTTTTTTCCGGATAAAATGTTGAAACGCAAAGATAAGGATACGTTCAGTCCAGTATTTACACTTGCTCAGGGATAATTTTTTTTTTTTGAGAAGGGGTTTCCCTCTTGTTGCCCAGGCTGGAGTGCAATGGCACGATCTCGGCCCACTGCAACCTCCGCCTCCCGGGTTTAAGTAATTCTCCTGCCTCAGCCTCCCAAGTAGCTGGGATTACAGGCGTGTGCTACAATGCCCGGCTAATTTTCTATTTTTTAATAGAGACGGGGTTTCTCCATGTTGGTCAGGCTGGTCTTGAACTCCTGACCTTAGGTGATCCGCCCGCCTCGGCCTCCCAAAGTGCTGGGATTACAGGTGTGAGCCACTGCACCCGACCGAAATGTTGTTTTAAAGTCAAATTAAAGCGAAAAATGTCTTCCAAAACTTCTGATTACTCTTTTTCTCTATAGAAAAATAGAAATTTGGGAGCAAAGTGTAAGGACGGATGTTTGCTGTAAGTCTGTTAGTGCACACTTACGGACACAGGCGAGAATAGGTCTGGAAGGACATAAACTCGGAGGTTAGCAACCTCTTGTTTTTGCAAGTCTGTATTTTCGAAGTATTAAGATTTTAATTTTTTGCTTGTCTCTGGTTGGAATGTTCAATTTCCTAAACATCTCCTGGGGAGTAAGTCTGCACTTCAGGAAGTGCTCTTGTCCAGAGGATAAAAGGTTGGGGGCGCGCCCCTGGGTCCCGGCTCCTCCGGGAAACCTTCACTTGGGGATCCTCAGAAGCAGTGAATGACAGGGTGAAGATGCAGTCGCTCAGTCAAGTCCAGAAGTTCAAGAACTCCTTGCAAGCGAAGCAGTCACAGGATACAGTGGGATCTTCTGGGAACCCAGGAGTAGGAATTGACGCGGATAACTCGGTCACCGGCCCTGCTGCCTCGGGAGGCGCACCCAGCTCCGGCCGGTCGCGGGGCGGGGGTCGCAAGGCGCCGGCCGGGCCTCAGCGCGCGTGCGCGGCGAGGGGGCGGGGTCGGGGCGGGGCTGCGCCCGGCGTCTAGAGCGGCGGCAGTGGCGGCGGGCTAGGGCTGCGGCGCGCGCGGCTGGTTAGCGGCCGGGTCGGGCTCTGCGGGTCGGGGCTGGAGGACCAGCACGTGAGGTCGGGTCCGCAGCCCGTGACTTCACAACCAGGCGGCGGCGCTGCTGCTGCGGGGCTCCGGCACTCGGCCCGGCGGGACGGCGGGGCGGCTGGCTCCGGGGGCCGGGAAGCGCCAGGTAGGTGGGTCGGGCCGGGCCGGAGGCTATGCGGCCGCCGCGGAAGCCGGGGCAAGGGACGGACAACAGGCGTGGGGGGCGCGTCCCGGTTCCTGCTGGGCCGGACGGGGACAGCGCCCGCTGTTGTCATGGAAATCGCTCTGCCTAGCGGTGCCAGTGGTCTACCTGCGGTGGCGTCTTTTGAGAACAATTCGAGCCCGGCGGACCCCGAGCCCTGTGAGGACGCGGCCGCCCCGGCAGGGGGCCGGGTACCGAGCGGGCGTGGGGCCGCGGGATGCAGTCGCAGCGCCAGCCCTGTACGGCTCCAGGGCTGGGTCTACCGGCTTCTGACGCTGGAGGCCTTGCCATGTTTAGGTGTAAACATAACCGGGTAAAAGTAAACATGCATCTCCGTGTAGGAAATCTGGTCTCCATCCTCGAAACTCTTCCCTTTTCTTTAGACCCCAACAGCATTTCTAGCATCTTTGCTTTCTATATTTTATTTCTCTCTGGCTTTGTTGTCCATTAAATGAGGCCTGAGAAATATGCAGATATCTGTGGTTGTCTCTTGAAAAACCAGCCAGGAATGGATAGGCCCCAGAAGACAGACATTCGAAATGTTAGAGGTAAATTTGTGTCTTTGTGGGCAAAGGAAGGGAGTGTTGATGGGCTCGCCTCCCTCCGCCTGTCGCCTGCCCTCTGACATTACATAATGATGGGTTCTTCCTGCCCTGAGTTCATCCATAATGCCAGACCATGAAAACGTTCCTCTGGGTAAGATAGACCTGTAGGTATTAGAACCCATTTTCTCCTCTTTTGCTTTGCCTTTTGAGGCAAATATGTCTTGTGTTGGGAAGCTGCCTAAGAATGGAATTTGATTTGTCACCTGCCCCCAGGGCATTTAAACCAAGGGAATGGGGGTGGGGTGGCGATTTGGGTGTTGAAGAGAAATTCTGACGGGTTCATCTGTTCCCAGTGGGTTGTGTGGACCATGGAGAAGCCAGTGGGTTTGAGGAGAGAGTGGGTTGACTTCGGTGTGAATCATGGTTCTGCTGCTTGCTAACTCTGGTTCTTATCTCTAAAAGGTGAGAGCAGAGCCTTTTTCGCTGAGTTTATTTTGGAATCTAGATGCTGTGGGATTGGCCAGTGCATGTAGAATTGTTTGCTATGGTTAGTCCTAGAATTGAGCCTAATTTTTCTTTGGTTGAAAATACGCTTTCTTTAAGGGAAATTTTGTTTTTGGATCTAGGCTAGGGCCTTTGTTTTGGGGGTTCTTTGCTAAAGTGTGGACTGCTAATTTACTGTTTTCTTTGAAGAAACGTGAATGATGGGGCCCATGTGAGAAGGTCAGTGTGGTTGGTCTGTTGGAACAATGGTGCCAGGAGACCTCTTGATGCTGTCTGCCCCAGGGGTGGCGTTCCATGTGAACAGGCCTCATCCCTCATTCCCTGTGATGTCTTGTAAACACGCCTGTGAAACCAGAGCTACTTGGTAGAGTTTACCTTGAAGATAAGGCTTTAAGAAATGGATGTGGACAAATTCAAAGAGAAAAGAACATTGTATGTCTGCTGACCTCTTTATAGAATTATTTACCTAGCCACCTTACTCATGTAGCTACTTTTTTCATTTAGTTTATTCTGTCTCAGGGAGTTTATCTGCTTGGGTAAGTCCTGTTTCGAACTAGATCAGAGCCAAGGGCAGATGTTATAGGGCATCCCTGTTTTTAAAACTGGATATTTTGTAGTATTGCTGTTAAACTGAATATTAGGGTATTTTTTTTTTTTTTTGAGACGGAGTTTCACTCGTTACCCAGGCTGGAGTGCAATGGCGCGATCTCGGCTCACCGCAACCTCCACCTCCTGGGTTCAGGCAATTCTCCTGCCTCAGCCTCCCGAGTAGCTGGGATTACAGGCACGCGCCACCATGCCCAGCTAATTTTTTGTATTTTTAGTAGAGACGGGGTTTCACCATGTTGACCAGGATGGTCTCGATGTCTTGACCTCGTGATCCACCCGCCTCGGCCTCCCAAAGTGCTGGGATTACAGGCGTGAGCCACCGCACCTGGCCCGGGTTTTTGTTTTTTTTTAAATCACTTCAAGGAAAGAATGAAACAAAATAATACACATACACGAGAGCTTTTTGTAAACTGTAGCTCACTAGAAAGATGGGATGTGTATGACAAAGAACTATCAGTCCTGCAAGTCTCTTTAACTTGCTGCCTGCTTAAGAGGGAACGTTCTCAGCCAGCATCTCTTCAAATGCACACAGGAATGGACTTGAAGGCAGTGTGGGACCAACTGACTCACTGATCCCCAGCCCAGGACTTAACATCTCAAGAATTCAGTGAGGCAGAGTGGAGGTGGAGGCTTTCTACCAAGACTGTTTCATCCCATTTTCGTTTTTAAATGAAAAGCTGTTTTTTAGCTTAGTATTCCAGAAAAGTTGCCACGACATCATCAACTACTCATGATGTCAGGAGGCTTTGACTTTCACTGAGAAAAAAAAAAAGCACAAATCTGCAGTGAAAAAGGCTTGATTATGTTGGTGCTTCTGTAGAACTTGATTAATGAGCTGGTCTTGAGAGAGCCTTCAAAATGGCTTTTTTTTTTTTTCAGTGTTCTAAAACAGAAGCTCTGTGAGGAAAACATTTTGAGAAGACCAGTATTAATGCCCATGCAGGCTTGCTTCATTTCATCTCTTTGTTTAAGGAAAATGCCATCATGAAGCTAATCCCAGGGAATTTACCTACATTTCTATTCATATGTAGACGTTCTCTAATTTTTAAAAATATTTTGATATAGTTTCAGACTTGCAGATAAGTTTCAAGAATAAGCCAAAGGTTTCCCAGATTCTCTAAATGTGGACATTTTGTTACATTGCTTTATATTCCTATGTGTTATTACATTTTTCTGAAGTACTTAATAGTAAGTTGTAGACTTAAAGTATTTAGAGGCAAAAGTTACCCTTTTACCTCTAAATACTTCACTGTGTATTTCCCAAAAAATAACATTCATAGACAGTACATATGACGTTCATAACAACAGTACAGTTATTAAAAATATCATAGCCAGGTGCAGTGGCTCCTGCCTGCAATCCCAGCACTTTGGGAGGCCAAGATGGGAGGATCACTTGAGGCCAGCAGTTTGAGACCAGTCTGGCCAACATGACAGAATTTTGTCTCTACTAAAAATACAAAAATTAGGCTGGCACGGTGGCTCACGCCTGTAATTCTAGCACTTTGGGAGGCTGAGATGGGTGGATCACTTGATGTCTGGAGTTGGAAACCAGCCTGACCAGCATGGTGAAACCCTGTCTCTACGGAAAATACAAAAATTAGCCAGGTGTCATAGCAGGCACCTGTAATCCCAGCTACTTGAGAGGCTGAGGCATGAGCATTACTTGAACCTAGAAGGCGGAGGTTGCAGTGAGTAGAGATTGCGCCACTGCACTCTAGCCTGGGCGACAGAGTGAGAGAGACCCTGTCTCAAAAAAAAAAAAAAAAAAGAAAAAAAATTACCTGGGCATGGTGGTGTGTGCCTGTAGTCCTAGCTACTTGAGAGGGTTGAGGCATTAGAATCTCCTGAATTCAGGAGGTGGAGTTTGCAGTGAGCCAAGATTGCATCACTGCACTGTAGCCTGGGCAAAAGAGTGAGACTCTGTCTCAAAAAAAGAAAAAAAAATCAGGAAATTAATGTTGATACAACACTATTTAGTGTACCGATCTTAGTTATATTTTGTCAGTTGCTTTGATATCTCCTTTATAGCAAAAGAAAATCCTAGACATCTGTTTTGCATTGTTTTTCTGTCTCTATAGTTTCCTTTAATCTGAAATAGTTATCAAGTCTTTCTTTTGTATTTCACAACATTGACATATTTGAAGTTTACTGACTTTTTTTTTCCTTTCTTTTCTTTCTTTTTAGAGATGGGGTTTCACCATGTTGGCCAGGATGGTCTCAAATTCCTGACCTTGTGATCCACCTGCCTCAGCCTCTCAAAGTGCTGGGATTACAGGCTTGAGCCACTGCGCCTGGCCTCGACTACTGACTTTTTAAGATAATGCCCTCAATTGGGTTTCCTTATGATTAGATTCAGGTTATGCACTTCTGGCAGGAGTAGCACAGTGTTGAAGCAGTCATTGTCTCTCTCTGTCTCTTTTTTCTTTTTTTTTTAAGAGGCAAGATCTTGCTTGGTTGCCCAGGCTGGAGTGCAGTGGTGCCATCGTAGCTCACTACAGCTTTGACCTCCTCTACTAAGTAATCCTTCTACCTCAGCCCCCTGAGTAGCTGAGACTATAGGTGTGTGCCACTGTACCCGGGTAATTTTTAAATATTTTATAGGGACAGGATCTCACACTGTGTTGCCCAGACTGGTCTCAGACTCCTAGTCTTGAGATTCTCCTGCTTTGGCCTACCACAGTGCTGAGCCACTGTGCTTGACTGATGCTGAAACCTTCTTGGTGTGTTCCATCAGGCATATGCTGTGATTAGCCCATTCACTGGCCCTGTTAACTTTGATCACTTGAATTAAGGTGGTATCTACCTCATTGAAAAGTTACCATTTTTCCCTTTGTAGTTAATCTGTGTCTCAAAGGAAGGGAATTTGAGGCTATGTAAATATACTGTTACTTTTCATACAATTACTGACTAGTTTCAGAATCCATTGATATTTCTAACCTGAATCAATTATTACGATAGTTGACAGATGATGATTTTCCAATTTTATAGTTCCTTCTATATTTATTAGTTGGAATTGTATTGAAAGGAAAAACCTTTCTTTCTCTATTATTTATTTTTTGATTTACATCGATAGACTAATGAATTCTTGCTTTATTTAATAGATTAGAGTCCATTACTCTCATTATGCATTTTATTGCTAAAATTATCCTAGATTTGGCCAGTGGGAGTCCCTTCAAACTGGCTTTTGTGTCCTTTTGACATTTGACCATCATTCTTTGAGAACTTTTCTTCCTGGCACAAAATCTTGAAGACTCATCTTGTACTTCCCTTGTCTCCAGCCCTGGA